TTAAGAGTCTGTTTCTTGGTTTACCTCGCTCTCACTCTTCTTTTCCCCCTTTGTTCGTTTGCTTTGTTTCTTCCACGTCAGGTTTTATTTGAAAAAAGGGTTTTACTGCTAAAATGATGACAATTTAGACCATCCTACACGTAAGATGGAGGAAGCCTGAAAATTAAGGCCGTAGCCCAAATTACAGAAGGTTTGGACGCTCTCAAATCTTTATTCTCCGCTATGGAGGAACCGCAGGGATTTTTGTTGGTTTGTTTTGAGTAGGAAGGGATGTGATCAGCGCTCTCATTTGGTTTTCTCTGAAAGTATCTTCTGTTTTAGATTGGGAGTGACACCTGACTTGGGGAGAAGTTGTGTAACTGTAATGCAGTCCAGACATGACAAAGACTTGAATTAAGTCAACACATATTTATTGAGGGCTTCCTCTGTGCAGAATACCAGCAGTTATTGAGAAGATATGAAAAGGAATATGACAGGGTTCCTGCCCTCAAGTTGCTTATAATTCATTAGGAGAGTCCGACATAAAACATTAGCTATAATTACCTGTAGGGCAAAAGTAATGGAATAATATTATTAATTGCTAACTGGTTGATTGCTTACTCAGCCAACTTTAGTTCAAAGGGCTTTAAATCGATTCTTTCATGTAATTCACACTGCAGCTTTGTGGGGAGAATTTTTGTTCCCTCTCTTTTACAGAAGAAAAAAACAGACGTATGTAGAGAGACTAAGTAACTTGCTCTGGAGTTGAGCCCCTAAGTGCTAAAACAGAGGCCTGAATTTGGTGGCACAACTCAAGGTCCACGCTCTTAACCCCTTGCTGCACAGCCCCCCTTGCAAGGAGGAGAGGGGAGGGAAGAGTTGGCGATGGCAAGGCCTTGAGACTGGACAGTTGTGTGAGTGGTGGTAACCTTAGCAGAGAAGGGGTGCTAGGAGGAGGGCAGGCGATTTCTCTTTACGGCACGTTGAGATTTGGAAACATCCAAACTGAGAGACCTAGCAGGCAACCAGAATGCAGTTTGGGAGACGAAGATGTTGGTGATAATGGTAATAATTACTGATACTTTTTGAACACTTACCACGTACCAGGCACCGTTCCGAGTACCTTGCACCTGTTATCTCCCTTAATCCCCTCTGCGTAGGCTATTTCATGGGCACAGCATGGGAAGCATCTTGCCCCAGGACAGAAGCAGTGCGTAGGGGACCTGGCAGTCCTGAGCCCACAGCTCCTTCTCTGAAGGACTGTGCTGTGTCCCTGGCTGACATAGCCTCACAGGGCTTCAGTTAAAGCAGATGATACAAGAGCGAGGCAGGTGCATTGCAGCAAGCAGTCTTATTTCTTACCTATTTGAATCACAGAGAGACATTATGCATTGGGCAAGATGTTAAAATTTGAAATAAACCCAATTCACTTCTTTCTGAGGATGAACAACTCAACCCAGAAAAGTGGGATCATCAGCTATCAAAAAACCACGTACGTGGAGAAGTGTGCGTGTGTTTGTGTTAAATGTTAATGCGTAGGGCTGTAGACCTCTCAGTTCTCACACTTGAGCTCTGTGGAGTTCATAAGAAAAGTACTTTTGCACACATGACTTCCACAAATCTTCCCAGGAGCTCTCTGGAGTAGGGAAGTCCAAGTGACTAACCCTAGGGTGCACAGAGGGTAAGATGGGGGAGGAACATAGAAAGGGAACTTGGGAATGTATTGTAAAAGTTTTCTTTTTAAACAACTTACAGAGTTCTCAAAGCAGATACCTTCCATTTCTGCAAGTTGCATAGGACGGGCAAGACTTAAAAGAACAATGTGAGGAAACCAACCAGAACGCGGAGGGAGAGTCAGGAGTGGGACTCGATTACAACCTGCTCTCCCTTACTGCTCTCCTTTCAGGGCATGGTGGCTGTGTCAGGCAGTCTGTCAGTGCTTCTGGATTCCATCATCTGTGCGCTTGGCCCCTTGGCGTGTCTGACCACACAACTACCTGAACTGAACGGCTGTCCCAAGCAGGTCTTGGTGAGTTTTCCCTGTTTTCCTTGGCGTTTTTTCAGCCAGACCCCTCAGGAGCCACGGAGGCCCTGCCTTAACGAGCTCACAGGCTTCCTGGCAGATGGTGCTCCCTCCGTATATTGGCCCATGAACGTGGTACCGGGTTGCTGAATACATGCTGTGCTTTGCGTGCAATTAGAAAACGTGCCGTTTCCCAAAACAGTCCTTGGGAGAGAAGCATTCTAGCCCCTGAGGGGCCGCACCTCCTGTGTTGCCTATTTGCATTTCTATACACAGAGACGGAAGAGGAGGCTTCTGCCGCTTTTCCACGAGGATTAATGGGAAGAGTCAGCGGAAAAGCTCCCAGGGGAGCAGACAGCAGGGTGCCAGCTTCACTCTCTAACTCTCGGTTTCCTTTCTCCTCTCTCTCCTCTGAACAAAGAAACAGGTCTCAGGGAACTAAGGTAAAGTACTGTCAGCTGAACCTCTTCCCTTGTTTTGCAGTCAAACACACTAGACAACATTGCTTACATCATGCCTGGACTGTGACCTCGAGGAGTCCCGGGACAGAGACCTCATCCAACCCCATTGCTGGTTTGTGTATATGTGGATGCGCCAGATCACTGGTCTCCGGGTGTAGGTTTTAAATTTTTATATATATATACATATATATATATACATATATATATAATGTACAATATATACATAGGACTGTAACTACTTTGCTTTTAATAATTTTATGAAATGGCAAAGGTTTAGCCAAGAGGAAACCTTGGCATGAATATGGACTTGGGATTCTTTTTTCTCCTGTGGTGGATAAATCTGCCTTAAAAATCAATGTAACTTGGGGGCTGGGGGCTTGTTCTGGGTGCCAAGGGCATCTCTTTATGGACAGCTAAAAATGTGATTTTTTTCCAAACTCAGCTGTACCTCCAGACCCATCACTGACCACTTGCCTTACCTGTCTCACAGTCTGAAGTATAATAGGGAAGATTATGGGAAGATGCCAGTTGACTGAGAGCGTACAAAGCCTTTCAACTTGAAGTGACCTAGGCAGGAGGTGATAAAATCGTTCCCATCTTCTAGTCACTGCAGTGGCTTAGGTGAACTTCATAGGGGGTTCATTCCGTTTCCTGCTCTACCGGTGTCTGTGTCTCAAAATTTATTGTAATCATTGGTACCATTAGCAGCCTCAGTAGGGGCCGAGGAGTTACGTGAGCCCCAGCAGCGTGAAACACCTTGGAGAGGGTAAAGCTGTGACTGCACAAGTTGAACATACATTGTGAGCTGACCCAGAATATTCCATCTGCAGAACTAATTGCTGGTATCTTCCATTGGCAGCATTTGCTTAGCCGCCGAGTCCTCACAGGTTTTGCTGCTTAGTTGCTTGATGGTTGTGGAAGATGAACTTGGCCCAGCGTGATTCTTGGGTTCATCCAATTGGCTCCCCTGGTGGGCAGATACCCAGTGTTCTGCATTCCACACATAAGTGAATTGCAAAAAAGTACTCGATTCTCATGTAGGTTTATTTATGTGCGCGTGTGAATGTGTGTTTTAATTATGTGTATTTAACTCTTTAAAATCTCTTAGATTTTAATTTATCCTGTAAATTTCTGTATATATAATTTAATAACAAAAGCCTCCACCAGCAACAGCACGTGGAAGACACAGATTTGTCATTTCTTCCCTCCTTCTTTCTTCTGATCTCCACTGAAAACTCCCAAGTCATTTACATTTTAAGGTATCATGCCTCAAAAAGGAATCATTATGTCAGGATTCTAATTCTTTATAATTCAATAATGTCAAGAAAGTAAAATTAAAAGGAATGTTACCATTCCCAGCTGCCCACTTTTCCAAAGAACCAGACTTCTGCTTCCCAGTTCCGAAGAAGACAGCTGAACGCTTGAGGGTTGTTTTCCAACTGGGTGTGAGGTTCCCTGCCAAAACTAAGCTCCGGGGGAACTGCGCTTTCTTCCCCTGGCCGAGGCACAGCACTACAGCATCTAAGTAGATCTTCGAGGACCCTTCAGCCAGCCTGCATCCTACTTATTAATCCCTTCCCTTCTCCCCACCCGAGGGGTCGCAGGGCTTTGTTCCCTGAAGGTGCTCTAGCTGCTGATTGGCCCTCAGCTCAGAGCCGTGGGGAAGTTTAATTGGGGAGACGGAAGGAAATGGGTGTGTTTGGGAACCAAAATCAAGAAGAGCAGATCTGGGTTTGATTTCTTGTGTCAGACCCTGTGCCACGCCTCATCTGTACCGTGGAAGCTTCCTGTTTGACACAGGGTATCAAGGAGGGGCCTTGAAGACAAGGATTAGTAGGAAAGAAGTCAGTCAGTCCTACCATTGTCATTTGTGCACATGAATGAAATCCTGATGAGGACCTGCTTTTTGTTGGTTTGTTTTCCTTTAAAACCCAACCCTATTGTATTTGTATTTAAATTTGTACACATTTGTATGATAATCTGTACCTTGTGGTATTTGGTACTATTAGAGGAAAAACTTTGGATTCAGACCTTCTTGCAGTTTTTATATCATTGTTTTATTTTGTTTTTTAAATAAATTCTAGTGGTTTGATCCAAATCCCATTACAGTTGTATAAAGAAATAAAATTTTGTACTTATATTATTAAAAATCACATTTTTAATATTTGTAGTCCGGTCTCAGGTTATCTTTTCCCTGTTGCTGAGCAAGTTGCTATGAAATTCTAAAACCTGTCATTTTTCACCTATATTGTACCATGATTTTTTTTTTTTTTTTTTAAGAAAAATCTCTATCTGGAATAGAGGCCAAGTTTCTGATCTTAGCCATTTTTCTAACTTACATCTTGCTCTGTCTCTATTAACTTTTACATTGTACAGTCTCTCGTGTTCTCTCCCTTGCAAACTAAAGACCAGTGACTCTGTAAGAGAAGCTCTATTCACTGGTAAATGAAATTGTGTGTACACTACAGTGTTAGTCTAACTCAAGAAAATATCAGTCGTGTATTAAGGGTCACATCTAAATCCTGTGCTTAACCATGATACATTTCATTGCCGTTTCAGTCCTGTCTTGACCTAATGAATGATGTTGGATAGGTCACTTAGTCTTTGTGGGTGTCCAAAGTCCCACCAGTAAAATAGTGTTAAGGTCACTCCTGCCTCCAGGCCTGCAGCCAGCCAGCCTGACATGAATGATTAAAAATACTGTGAACATTTTAATATGTGGAGATTTGACCTCTCTAGGTAAAAATTTCAATGTAAAGACAAGGTGTGACTAGTCCTACTAAACAGTGAAATATTCGGTCAATGGGAAGACTGACCTCTTACGAAGAGACTGCAAGAAAGACACTGAATAACCCTTAAGGAGTGGTTTGCATGTTTTCTCACATTCAGTCCTCCCACAAGCCTTCTGAGTATTCTCCCCTTTTACAAATGAGACCAATGAGGAAAGTACTTCGCCTGAGGTGGTACAGCTAGTAAAGGGCAAGGCCATAGCAGCACACTGGTACAGCTGAACTGGGCCCCAAGCCACTTGAAAAGTTGGATCGTGTATGGAAGGCCTCAGAATCCTTCTCTGTTACCTACGGTCCTGAGCAAATGGGATTGTACAAAAACTACCTGAAACTCTTTCATTATTCAGATGTTCTCTCGTCCTGGCTGGCGTTTACTACACAGGCCTCACCTTTCTTGTCGTACTACTGTCTTACCACTTTGAAGGCAGAGGATCTTGACTTTCATCTAAAAGTACTTGAGGGGCACCTGGGTGACTCAGTCAGTTAAGCGTCCAATTCTTTGATTTCTGCTCAGGTCATGATCTCGTGGTTCATGAGTTCGAGCCCTGCCTCAGGCTGTCTGCTAACGGTGCAGAGCCTGCTTGGGTTTCTCTCTCTCTGCCCCGCACACTTGCTCTCTCTCAAAATAAATAAACAATTTAAAAAATAAAAATAACAAAAGTACTTGAAGGATGTAATAGATTACGTTACATTTATGCAGTATGTCAGTCTTAGGGGACTTAACCATTTTTACCCACAAGCAGGCGTTTGATACCAATATTACTAAAACGTTTAAAAAATTAAAACGTATTGTTTACTAAATGAATTTGCTCCTTGCTAGCAAACGCTTTTATTTTATTTATTTTTTTTAATGAGCTCTACGCCCAACACGGAGCTTGAATTCAGGACCCGGAGAACAAGAGTCACATGCTCTACTGACTGAGCCAGCCAGGCGCCCCTTAGCAAACACTTTTTGGTTTTTTTAGCAAACACTTTTATTTATTTTTTTTTTTTCAACGTTTTTTATTTATTTTTCGGACAGAGAGAGACAGAGCATGAACGGGGGAGGGGCAGAGAGAGAGGGAGACACAGAATCGGAAACAGGCTCCAGGCCCTGAGCCATCAGCCCAGAGCCTGATGCGGGGCTCGAACTCACGGACCGTGAGATCGTGACCTGGCTGAAGTCGGACGCCCAACCGACTGCGCCACCCAGGCGCCCCAGCAAACACTTTTAAAACATAGTTTTAATCAGTTTTGTACTACGTTTAATGTTTGCCATTTGTATTCCTCTCTGTTGGGTCGACAAATCCACATACTTCTAATTTAAGAGCTATGTAGTATTCTGTTTGCGTGGAATTGATATGATTCCGCTCCCTGTTTTGGAGTATGGGGGCTGTTTCAGCTTTTTTACCGTGAAGGATACAACTTATGGCTGTTTCATTCTTGTCAATAAAGCCCAAGATCTTCTGCCCACAACCACTTTAAACCAGAGTGGGGCAAGGAGGCAAAAACTTCAGATAAATCACCACCCAACATGGGCATGTGAAAGGCTGCCAATGGAAGAATCCAAAAATGCTAAATACCATGTATGCGACCAAGCAATATGCTCAAATGAAGAAAAACATGGAAGGTGCCTGGCATGGAAGTCACCTTAAATGTATATCCTGCCCTTTATGGTCCAAATACCAAAGGTATTTGATCTAAGGTAGATTGGTTTAAATTTTAATGTTTTAGTCACTGTACTAGACAACAATGGTGAGCAAAGTGGTGACATAGTATCCCAGCCCCTCACAGAGTAGAGGGGAAGGGCATTTGTGAATAGGTCTCCTGGGCATTATTAAAACACTTCAAAGCACAGCAGCACATGACTTCCATAAAGTTTTTATACTGTACAGTAAAGATGTTCAGCCACTGTGTCTGCACAAACAGGTTAACGTAAGGAAGTGATTAAGTCCTAATTTAGGTCTTTCATCATCCCATATCGGTACAATCCATTTACTAGCCTTCCCAATTTAAAAATCACAAACACAGTGACCAATTAAATATTAAAGCACCCTGCAGTAGCCCAAACTACCAAAGCTGTGGTTATTGTGTCTTTTGGAGTGCATGTGATGAGAAGAAAAAACCAATAGATCAGATCTGATCTAATGTGTAAGAGCAGTATCTAAAACATGGTACACAGGAGGGTTGAAAAGAGAATCTTAGAACGAGGAAAGGCCTTTGAAATGCTTAAAATTTTTAACTTGGGGTCCACTTCTGTGTTTCAGGGACCCCAGAAACTCCCTGAAGTTAAATTGTATCTCTGTATTTTTGCTGCATAAAGGCTTGTGGTTTTCTCCAAATTCTCAAAAGAGCCTGTGACCTACAACAAAGTTTATACAGTCCTTGATCTAATTCTAGCATCCAGCAAAAATGAAAGCTCGCTGTTTGAATCACAGAGTAAATAAATGGCAGAAATGGGTCCCAGGCTCCTCTTGTGAGTACATCTGGGTGCATTCTGCCACTCTGGGCTCTAGCCCGTTCCTCGCTACAATTCATGGAGTTGGTTCTGTGTCAAGGGATCGCAATCCCCTGGTGCTGGCCTCCAATGTGAGGTAAGCGAATGCGGACTGCAAGCAAGGTGCATCTTGCAACAGGGAGGCCCTGACATCAGATAGGAGGAGCTCTGCCAGGGCGGAGAGACAACAGGCCAGAGATGCTGTCAACCCCAGCGTTGGGGGCGTAGTCATAGTGAGGTCCTAACAGCGAAGACACTAGAGTGAGAACTGGTCTGAGCTTGCAGTGTAACCTTACCCAAGTCATTTCCCTGCTCCGAGACCTTGCTTGACAAGCGTAGAGCTTTAGGTCACACCTTTAAAAGGCATTGGGGGCGTGGCCTGCACAGGCCACACAAAGCCTCCTCATTTGCCCCAACCCTACGTCGTGCGTGACGTCCACAGGCGCCAGGAGAGCTGCAATGTGGTCGTCGCCCTCCGCCTCGGGGAGCCCGACCCTCCACGTCAGGGGCGGGGCCTGTGTCCCACGCTCTACTCCCTACGCCCCGCCTCCACGGGCGCCTCCTCACGGACCGTCGGGCGCGTCACGTGACGAGTCGGCGGCGCTGGCGGTTGCTGTCAGCTGATTCCCCCGGTTGGTGGCTGGGGCAGCCGCGGCGATGGACTTTCTCCTGGGGAACCCGTTCAGCTCTCCGGTGGGACAGCGCATCGGTGAGTCCCCGGAGCCCCGCCGCAGGGCCCTCAGCACGGCCTGGGTCCCCCCCGGGCGCTTCCAGGTCCCAAGTCACCCTCCGGAGGGACGCTGGGAGGGGAACGAGGCTGGCGTGTCTCTCCCGGACCTGTCCCCGCCCAGTCTCCCGCCCACCTTGATTGACAAAAGCCGTGGTCTATCGGGAAGCCTCGGCTTGTGATGGATGCCTACGGCAGCCAATAGCTAGAGAGAGAGGGCGGGTCCGGGCGGCCGCGGCTCAGCCAATGTGAGGCTGATGGGGTCCCGAATCCCGGGAGAAAGTTTTGGGGGTTGAAGGGTCTGCGTGGTTTTGCAGTCCTTGAGCCCCTCGCTTGTCTCCCTCATCGCTCCCCTACCCCGGGTCGCGCCGCCTGGGCTCTTGCCGTCTCTTTCCTGGTTCGCCCGACTCTCCGGACACGGATACCGGAGAAGGGTTAGAAGTCCATTCTCCCAGGATCAGGAGACTGGGGCTTGGCGTCTGGGCGAGCAACTTGCGGGGACGCGGCCAGGCAGCCCTGCTGCGCCCGGGGCCCGGCCAGACGCTGGCGAACCCGCGAGACCAGCAGCAAGGCGACCGCACAGTCGCAGACTCCCCGAGCTGGAAGCGATCTCAGGAGCCACCTGATTCCGCCTCCCTCATTTCTCAGTACTCGGCTGGGCCGGGCACCCTGGCCGGAGGCACAGGCTTACTCGGCCCAGGTCTCCTGACTCTCCTGCGCCCTGTTGACGGGAGACTGACTTACTAGCTCCGTGACGTTGCCTCCCGTTTCCTTGCCTGTGATTAGGGGTGTATTAATGGTCCCTGCTTCCGTGGGGTTGTTGTGAAGGCCAAACTCGTTAATAATTGTAAAGTACTTAGAACCGTGCCTGGCATATGGCCACTGCTATATAAAAGAACGTGGTGATATTTATCATCCTTGTTACTGAGATACCACCAACTGAGGGTGGGGAATCCCTGGAAATGGCGGGTTCTGTAGGTACTTCTTGCTCCCAATACTGGGAGGAACCCCAGGCCGTGGCCCAAACAGCTAACACTTCTCCAGGGACTGTCTGGATGTGCCTTCTTGCATCAGGTAACTGGCCAGTACTGTGAACGTCTTCATCTTCTTGATGGTCTTTAGCATGAAGTCTAGTCTGGGAAAATTGGATCTTTTAGACAGGCTTTCCATTCTGGCTGTCCTGGAAGCCAAACCTCAGTAAGTCCGTCAACCCGGCTCAGCAGTATAATAGGCGCCATGGCGGTGTGTGGCTCTTCTGAGGTTTTGTAATCAAATTTCTCCCAAGAGGAGGCTGGCGGTCCGGGATTTATTTATACACCAGAGAGCTCCTGGACCAGAGAGAGGAAGCTGTCCTCCCAGGAACACCCTCCCGGCTCCCTGCCACCCACACCTCCCAATGAGTCATTGTTCTGGAGCTGAAAAGCTCTCCTCTCATCTTAATTTCTCCAGCAACAGATACCACCACTTTCATCACATGCCAAGTTTGAGACTTCCTACCTAAAAAAAAGTCGGAGGGGTGCCTGGGTGGCTCAGTCGGTTGAGCATCCGACTT